AGCAGCTTGCCTATTTCCAGTTTGAAAAATAATTTAAACTGCTGGAGATCTGAGAGAGATTGCACTGAATCCATAGATTATTTCCACAAGAATTCTCTCTTCAGTTCACTTTCGTACTATTGTCTTCTACTACATACACGTGATATCTCTCTGATTTATGCAGGTGTTCTTTTTTAAACACTATTTTTTNCTCTCCACGTGTGTCTTTGGATGAATAGAAGTCCTTATTCTGATAAAGTCCAAGCAAAGTACCGATGTTTTCCTCTATCGTTAGGGCTTTTTGTGTCCTCGTTCCAATCTCGTTGCTTACTTACCCCAAGGTCATGAAGATATGCTCATTTGTCACTTTCTATAGGCTTTAACGTCTGGGATTAATTTTTGTGTTTGGCACAAGTTAGGGGCCAAAAAGTTAATCCAGTTGGTCCAGCTCCTCTTATTTAAAACAGGATCTTTCCCCCAGAGCCTGGCAGTGGCACAGTTGTTGTAATTGAGGTGACTGCACTTGTGTGAGTCAGTGTGTGGGCCCTTCTCTGTTCCATCGGTCTGCTTGTCTATTCCTGTGCTCATTCCTCAGCACCTTAATTATTATAGTCTCAGCGTTACCCTCGCTATCTGGCTGTAAAAGTACCGTTTTAGATGGACTTGTCTTGTTCTTGGATCTTCACTATCCATATATAATTTAGAAGCAGCTTGCCTATTTCCAGTTTGAAAAATAATTTAAACTGCTGGAGATCTGAGAGAGATTGCACTGAATCCATAGATCATTTCCACAAGAATTCTCTCTTCAGTTCACTTTCGTACTATTGTCTTCTACTACATACACGTGATATCTCTCTGATTTATGCAGGTGTTCTTTTTTAAACACTATTTTTTAAAAGGTGTTTTATTGATTTTTAGAGAGAGAGGAAGGGAAAGAGAGAAACATGGAAGTGCCCTTACCGGGAATGGAACCGGCAACCTTTTGGTGCAGGGCACAAACGCCCAACCAACTGAGCCACACCAGCCAGGGCTATGTAGGTCTTCTTTAATGTCTCTCAGAAAGGTTATGTTACTGTGTGCAGGGCTCTTGGCACTTCTTTGTTAGATTGGTTCTTAGGTGTTTGCTGTTTCCTGATGCCATAAGAAATGCCATTTAGATTTTTTTCCTTTTACAATTTTTTTTTTAAATATATCTTTATTGATTTCAGAGAGATGAAGGGAGAGGGAGAGAGAGAGAGAGAAACATCAGTGATGAGAGAGTTGTCGTTGATCGACTGCGTCCTGCACGTCCCAATGGGGATCGAGCCCGCAACCCGGGCATGTGCCCTGACAGGGAATCCAACCGTGATTTCCTGGATCCTATGTTGATGCTCAACCACTGAGCCATGCCTGACAGGGCCCTCTTTATAGTTTTAATGCTACTATATAGATATCCAATTGAATTTTGTAATATTGACCATATATCCAGTAATCATGCTAAATTCATTTATTAATAATAATATTATATATACATACATACATATATATGTGTGTGTATAAATATATATATACTCATTCTTTCAGGTTTTGAATGTACACAATCTGTTGTGTCTCCTTCATTTTTTAAAAGCTGAGAGAACTTTGCATTAAAAACTCCAAGCAGTCGTGCATCCATATTCCATTGACAGGAACCGGGGAAGGCCCATTCCTAAACCAGTCACTGGAAGGATGAGATTATTGTGACCTGGGTGGTCAATCACACTGCCTTGTATAATCAGATCCATTGCATCATAGTCCACAGTTTTCCTTTCTTTTAGTTTGGAAAAGAAATCTTTCATCCAAATGGTGAAAATCAGGAAATAGATGATGATGGGTTGATATTGGTGGAACATTCCTCCACGAGAGTGAGCTGACTTTACAACTCTCAAGGTATATCATTTCTAAAGCAAAGACTAATAAGTTTAATATTTGGAAACCATTTGTTGATTGTGGAGGAAGAATGAACTCTTAAAATGAAGTAATTTAATTCACACACATAGCCTTCTCTTGATTATGCAAAATTACCAGAGAAATTTTAACACATACACATATCAAACTTTTAACAATAGCTATTGATCACTGGCAGGATTGCCTGTGATTTAAATTCTATTTTAAACTTTTCCAAATCATCTCAATGCTCTACCGCAGGATTTGCCAACCTAGACACTACTGACACTTTGGACCAGATAACTTTTTGTTGTAAGAGACTTCCTTGTGCATTCACGGAGTTTAGGCAGCATTCCTCGGTTTGACCCACCTGATGCCAGTAGCATCTTCCCTTTCCCCCAGTTGTGATGAAGAAAAATGTCTGCAAACATTGACAAGTGTTCCCTGGGGGAGCACCATTGCTATACTGAGTATGAGATTTTAATATACATAGAATGCTAAGTGTATATAAAGATGGATGGATGTCAATACACATCAGTACACTGAGTATTTAATTTTTCTTTGCATAACACAGCTATTTTCCAAATCATTAAAAGTTATTCAAAAATATCCTATTAAATTTTCATAGTATTATTCTAAAGACATCCCCTATCCTGCTGGAAAATTCAGATGGTAAAACTTTTTTCAAATAAACCACACTAAATCCCTTTCAATAATGTAATATATATATATACACACACACACACATATACATATGTATATATTTCTCCTTGAGACTCAATGCCTAGAAGAGGAATTGTAACAACCAATGGATTTTGTGTTTATGACTTTGTACATGTCTTGTCAAATTTCCATGTGACGAGGTGCTCTGCAAGTATAACCCCATCCAGTAGCATACGAGAGAGCTTCCTTTCTTGCAACAGATTAAATTATTATTAAATATTAAAAATTAGTTGCTTTCATCCAGCTGATGTGGCTCAGTGGTTGAGCATCAACCTGTGATCCAGGAGATCCCGATTTGATTCCTGGTCAGGGCATATGCCAAGTTTTCAGGCTCAATTCCAAGAAGGAGGCAGGCAGGAGGCAGCCGATTAATGATTTTGTCATCACTGATGTTTCTATCTCCCTCTCCCTCTTCCCTACTCTCTCAGAAATCAAAAAAATATTTATATAAATATATATATTTTTTAAATTTCCTTTCTAAAATGTAAATAGCTATATTTTTCTCAATGTAAGAGTCATCTATGCTCACTGAAAACATTCAGAATAGAAAGGATATAGCAAGCAAAACTTTCTTTCCCAGTGTTTTTTTTTTTACCATGAGGCTCACTGATCCGCTCTGTGTCTCCAATCTGCGAGTCTTGCCAATTCCAGGAAGTGGCAGCACCAAGCACCCAGATACTATGGACAAAGTCTCAGAGTCGTCACTGATTGCTTTCCTTCCCTCATGCCCTCACAGCCGCTCAAGTGTCCCCTTCTGAGGCCTCAGACAAGGACATAGTGGAGCAGTCACAAGCCATCCCCACTCTGCCCTGTCTGAATTCCAGCTCTGCAGAGTGCCCGAGCATGATCCGATGGTCCTTGTTCCACGACACTGAGTTGCAGAGTGGTAGATGGCCAGAACACATCCCACTCATTCGTCCTTCATCCAAGTACATCCACTATTTCATCAGGATTCTGCTTTCTATATTCCAGCTCATTTCACCTTTATTCATTGTTTATTACATCTTCTTAAGCTTGTATTCTACATTTCATTCCAAATTTCATTCCATTCATTTCTATTCCATTATGGTACTTTGATCCATAGCCCATTGATTTCATGACACTGCATATTCTGTTCCTTTCTATGATTCCTTCCCATTTAATTTTTATTTTCTCCTGCTTTCTTTAATATTTTACTTCACTGCACATTCCATCCCATTCCTTTGCTCCTATAACGTCACACACGTCTGTATTCCACCTGCCATTAGATATTTATTTGCACTCCCCTTTCCATCCCATTTTTTCCACCACATTCCATTCAATTTCCAAACAAATCAACTTTCCATTCCATATCTGGTTCAGTCCGCATTTTATTCCCTGTTTCATTCCAGTGTGCACTGCAGGCAGTCTCCATTTCACTGCTTTCTGCATTCCATTTCCAATCTATTTTCCACTACTTATCACTGAACACTCCCAATACCTCTCCAGGCTACCTTGCACTGTGTTTCAGTCCAGATGCTCATCCAGTCCAGTAAGCATCCCATTGCATTCGGCCACAATTGCTAGGACAGTGACTTTCAGGAGAACATCTTGCTAATATTCTAATCCAAGAATTCCAGAGTGGATGGCCTGTACCACAGATTAATTTTTCTGGGAATTTAGCCATAACAAGGACACATTTGAAGATATGAACCATTTTTAGTAAGAAGGATGTGCTTCCCAGTGACATGTTATAGAGAGTGAAAAGTTGAAACGATGCCAGTCCTGGAATGTTTAAAATGTAAGCTTCCTCTGTAAATAGAGTATTTTGTACATAAAAAAAAAAAAAAAAAAAATGGCCTTGTGGAAGTTTATTTACTGATATGGAAAGAGTGTTTTCTGGACCCCCAAAGCAGGTTGCCAGACAATATCTATGGATAAGCGATTCCATTTCATCAAATAAAATAAACTAGGAGGTATGTGTGAATGGCTTTTCTACCAACATGTAAATAAAGAGTCCCAGTACCTGCATGTGGGTGGGTGAGAATTGAGGTGCCAGCTCTCTTACATTTGCTTTTCTGTTCGGGGTACTGAACAGGCAGCCCTTTCGTACTAATGATTAAAAAGCGGTGTCCAAATGTTGAATGTCATGCCTGTGCATCGCAGCATATTTATATGAACAGAAATAAGAGAGTAGGCCAAATAAGTGCATGTACATTGGACAGCGGATTACTACGCAGCCCATACAAATGATGATGCATATTTAAGGGCAGTATCACCCAGAACCGCTGGCAAATCGGGCCATAAGGCAGCGGAAGCACCTCACTGGAAAGCTCAGCCGACCGCACCCACCCCTGCCCACCCCCGAGCCTGGCAGCAGTGCTGGACACCTGGAGCCAAGCCAGTGCGGGCCCCACCCCTTTTCTCGCCCTCAGACTGCTCTCCAAACAGGCCCCCGTGTGGGGTCATCCCGATGACCGGAGGCGTTCTGGGATCGTCCCCTCTGGGTCAGGCAGGGACCCAGTGTCCTGACCAGATTCCAGGAGGGGCACCTGGCTCGGGGATATCTCCTGCCGGCCGGTGTGGTATTTCTTTCAAGCCACCGCTTGAGGCTGAGCCACCAGAGTGGTGCTAACAAAGGTAAGCTGATTCGGGGCGCCTCGCACTGTTTATGTGGCCTGCCTCTCCGCCCCTGCCCCCTTCCTCAAAACACACGCACTAGGGGCCCGGCTAAAAATGGGGAGTTGGGGGCACTGAATCTGCGGGCGGACTCCAGGGGGCGGGGAGCACACCCTCAGGTTCGGGTTAGGCGCCGGACCTAGCTGGGTTGCCGCGCTCTTCGAAACAGACAGTCACGTGGCTGCAGCTGGCCAATCAGAAGCGGGGACTCCACAGGACACGCCCACCTCCTCGCTCCTCCAGCTCTCTGGCAGGTAGTGTCGGAACTCTCCGGTGTCTGAGGGAGAACTTGTCACCATGGCCACCCAGCCGTACTTGGAGAAGGAGCAGAAGCAACAGGAGGGTGAGGCGCCCTCGGGCTGAAGAATAAATTAGTCCCTGCCCCTGATGACACTCTCGGGCCCTTAGTCTCCAGCATCCCTTCTCCATCGGGTGGGGGCGCCCTGCGCAGTGGCACCACAGGTGCCTCCGCCGGCGCCATGGCGGTCGCTGGCGCCATTTCCATAGTTGCGGAGGACCCGGGGCCGCCCGCCAAGCCCTGTGTGCAGGAAAGCGGGTGTCCTGAACTCCAGGGCGGCCCGAGTTCCCACACAGAGCTGAGCCGTATGGGGCCTGAGACGGGCCAAGGTCTGCAGACCGAACCCGCGGGCAGCGCAGGCGCCAGCGGCCCAGCAAACGGCCCTGGGCAGAAGCGTGGCAGCCGCCCCAAGAAGGCTGCCCAGGCCCAGAAGTTTCCAGGGTGCTGTCCCTTTCCAGGGTCTCCAGTCCCTCAGAGGTCCATGCCTTTGCCGCCATCCTTTCCAAGGGCTCAGCCCAGCCGCTGCCGCCTCCAAGCACCTCGGGCTTCTCCAGAGAGTCGCGTATGTCACCCATGCCCTGACCTTGGATGTTGCACCACTTCACCTCCAGGTCCTGCCCTGCGAAGACGCGCCACCCTGCGAGGCCCTGCCTTCTGCTCCTCCTGTGCACCCCTGCCAGGCCCCGCTGTCCGCCACTGCACATCTGTGAGAGGCCCTGCTGCCAACCGCCGCCATGCACCCCAGCCAGGCCACGCTGTCCGCCGCCGTGCATCTGCAGCAACAGGCCCTACACCCCGCCGCCAGCGCTCATCTGCATCTGCATCTGGCCCAGGCCCAGCACCCAGCAGCCCTGCAGCCTCTAACCGCGCATCCGGGTCCGGCACTGCTCTTCTTAGCCCTGGATCCGCACCAGGTCCTGCTCGCCCCCGCCGTGCTTCCAGGCCCGGCCCTGCTCTCCGATGCTCTGTTTGTGACCCAGGCCCTGCTTCCCGCAGCCTTGCACCTGGTCCAGGCTCTGCCCTCCGAAGCCCCGCATCCGGGCCAAGCCCTGCCCTCCGTGGCCGCGCCAGGCCTAGAAGCCCAGCCCCCTCTAGGAGAAGCACAACTCCAGGCTCTGTGCCCCGGGGCCGCCCCACCCAGAAAAAATCAACCCCCAGCAGCCGCCCCTCTCTCCCTGGGCCTGCTGGGCAGCAGCCTCCTTCCCCTGGGTTCGCCTTAGGGAGGCTTGGCTTCCAGAGCAGCTCGGGCTCTCCTGATCCTGAGG